AAGACGATATTTGAGGCCAATGTCGCTTGCGTGACTGTTTTCGTCGGTAGATGGCTGGGTGCTCTTAGTCTGAGAAACTGACTTGGTTTCACTCTCGGGGGTTGGAGTTTGGATTTGTCTGCTAGTCTGTGGTTGCAAAGATCGCCGAGAGTCTCGGTTGGATCTGACAAAATTTCCATGAGAACGCTGTAGTGTGCCAAATGTGTTTCAAGTACCAAAATGCATAAATTCATGATCCACTCTTGAAAATAGGCTAGATTCTTGTTGTTATTATTACTTCAATAGATTCTACAGGTAATTTAACCCATAGTCACTCACTGGAACCACTAGGCTAGCTCCACTCAGTCAAAAGTTATTTGGATAAATCAGTTTTTGTTATTACAGCATAGTATAGTTGTCCTGGGTAGTACATAGTATAGATTTATATATAAGTGCATAGTTGCAATCTTTTTTTGTAGAGGCATGTGTATGATCACATGTTTTAGTCACATGCATGATCACACGCTTGGATCACACGTATTTTCACATGACATCACCAGCCACACGCTTGGATCACACGTATTTTCACAAAATACCAGCAAAAATGCCTCAACATAGAAAGAATATTCCGCAACACATGTGATTTTCTGTATGTGGCAGTGCAGATCACATGACACACCAGCAAAAATGCCTCAATAGAAGCTTCCAAGCAGCAAAAATCCCTCAAGAAGAAGTCACACCAGCATAAATCCCTCACAGGGACATCCTCACTAGCTAAAATCCCTCACAATTTACTATATAAGGAGGTCATTTCTCCCTCCTCAGATCAGTTCCTCATGCCAATCTGGGCACATCTACCAAGGCTACACATCTCACCCAGAATCTTCAAGTCAAATTAAGGTAAAATCCAACAGTGTGATCTCAATCAGGTGGCCCATCAACATCTTTCATACCTCAGGAAGCATAGAAGAAGTCAAGTAGCAAGTATCACCCCTTGTGCTCTCAACAAGTCAAAGTGATCTTAACCCATTTGTTCTCTTAACTGAAGGTTAAGGAGGAAGGCAAAGACACTTTGAATAGTTCATATTTATCATCAGTTTTCTCTCAGTCTTTTCCCATATCAACATTTACTTTACTTCACTCATATAAACATATAAAAAACATACAAAAAATATCTCCCAGCTTTTCAACTCTTTCCATTATCTGATTCCAGACTTCTGTAAACCACACCAAATTCTTTCCACTCAAAAATTCCACTAAGTCTCAGCTGATTTCACGTTGATCTAGGTTTGATAAGAGACTGCTACAAATAGTTTTCTCCATCATCAGTTTTTTTGCCACAACAATAAAATAAATTTGTTGTCAGAATTCTAGTATAGTACATTAGAGGGGCAGGTCTTTCAAACCACCCGTAACAGTTGTAATAAATTCATACATACCTGAAATATCATAACTGCTATTTCCCCCTCGCAGGACTGCCATCCATCCCAAAGGAGTTCTCACAACGCAAAGGAGTTGTGATTCGACTAGACTGACGGGAGGATGTTTGCGAGGGAGTTCCACAAGGGGAAACAGATGATCGGGCCATTCTTGTGTGAAAGAACTCAAAGAACTAGGAGATTTATTTCTGTCATGAGAAAGTATTTTTCTATATACAACACTGTATCATGTAGGATGTTAAGAAAGAAAAATAGAACTGAGTGGAGTGAGAGAGAAAAGGGATCTACCTTGGTTATTCTGCCAAAGAGTTTCAATCCTGATGTTTCAACTTTTTGTGCGTAACTATACAGAGTGTCATAATTTTCATGTTAGTTTGCTTGGTCTTTAACTATCTGGAGATGTTATGGAAATCAGAATCTTACCTGATCACCTCAGTTGGATGTCCTGACGTGAATGTTTCAGTGGGTTGCTGAATAAGTTGGCTTTTGCATACATGTTAAACACATTATATCAGCTTGAACCTTAACTGGTTGGGGTTGCTTATAGTTGCATATGTGAATTGGCTTAATGAAGTTATGGCTTACCTATTTCACCTGCTGCTCTTACAGTTTTCCTCCTCTTATTAGAGGACGTGCCAGAGCCTAGAATCTGACAGGGTGGAGGGTGGTGGTAGAAGATGAGGAAGGATGATAGGATAGTGTGAGGTTAAACAAGTGAAATCTGATTGATGTTGGTGATGAAATCCAATCAATGTAATTGATTCTGGTACTGGAAGAATGTTGGCACTGGTAGCAAAATCTGATTCAAAGATTCCAATCAAGGTCAGTAAAGGAATAAATTCATTGATTTTGGTGGACAGGCAAGCAGGGGGGTGGATGGTGGAAGAGACAAAGCAAGAGAGGAAGAGGCCAAGGGATGAGGAAGCTGCTTTGATGAGGATGCTGGGACGAGGGTGAGGGAGTTGACGCATTGCAAGGACTAGACGGTGTGGTCGAGGGGGACAACAATGTCGCGTTGATGGGCAGGGATGGAGGGGGAGGAGGGCACGAGGACGGCCCAGTGACTTCTTCTTCACCAGACTCTCCAGCACATCCGCTAGATACATGTCCATCGTCACATTCAACATCGTGTTGATTGAGTCTACCCCCTTCCCCGGCGACGGGATCCGCACCTTCAGATACACTGTCGAGCCCGTGAAAGAGCTCCCCCCAAGCGGTGTCGTCTGTTGGGCTTCCGGGTATAGACCGCCAATCTCGGAAAGTAAGGTGCGCAGGGAAGTCGCGCTGGTTGACTGGTCTTGTCTGATACTTGCATCCCCATCACTGAGTGTCTGAATTTCCGTCGACGTTTGCCCTCGTCCTTAACGTTAGCCGAGACCATCATCTCCGCAATCGTCCCTCCACGGGCCTTGCCCTTGAACTCCTCCGGGGATTGGCTAGATGGGAAAGATACATCGTTCGGTCAATCGTAGCGTCCGGGATGATCGACAAATCGATCGTCTATTTCCACATATGTGCATTCCATTCCACCCCATCAACAACCAATTTTTTTTCTTTCTTTCTTTCCACAAAGAACAATAAAACTCTTCAAAAAAAAGGGGGGTGGGGGAAGATAGGAAGAAAAAGAGAGACGGCTAACCTGATGAAGGTCGCGCAAGACCTCGGAGCGTCGAACCAAGAACTCGACCGAGGCTTTCCAATCGGGTGTGGCCTTGAGCTGGAAGTTGTTGAGAAGCATGGTCTCGAACTTGGAGGTGTAGATCATCTGGCCATAGCTTTCGAGGTTAGACTGAGTATTATAAGCCTTGACGAGGTAGATAGGGTCTCGGAGGCCAGAAAGCTTCAATCGGGCCTACACATAAACATCAACCGGGTGCAATGATTTGATGCATTCATACCTGGTAGCGAGAGAAATAGATAGGGGGAGAGGAACATACCTTTTGTTCCTCAAACCGGTTGTCCTTGATGCTAGCACACAGGTCGTCAAGTCGTTTGCGCTTGACGATCAAGTCGAGGACGACTTCGTGCTGGCTGTCACAATGGACGGCGATCCAGATGGCGTCACCAAGGACAAGTGCGCGTTGAAGGACGCGGATGGGGGGCTGGCAAGAGCGCTTGCTTTCTTGACGCACAAGTTATAGAAAGCGTTGCGGTCGTTGATGTTGAAACTCAACGTGTCACAAGCCTGTTTGGTATACAAACGACTATTCATTTTACTCATTACTCCAAACCACTGGACTGCGCGTACCACTTCCGCATCCAGAAATCCAAACCACATCTTGAACTCTAATCATCATCGTGGGAAACCTAACCACCTGTCATCCCTCGAGTATAAAAACCGCCAAGATCTCAACTCAAAACATTCCTCAGTCTTCCTCAGTCTTCTCATAGACCACGACTTCAGAACACCATCGACTCAACAAATCTCAATCAAAGACCACAATCAACCATCAACTGTCTTCACATTCAATCCTCAACTACTCATCAACCAAATCGTCTCGTCTCTCTATTCAACTTGGTGAGAACTTCATCAAGAAGCCCTTGTCTTAATTCTTTTTCTCTGATATTCAAAATCACTAATGTTGTTCGATCTTAGTCCATCTTGTGTCCTGTCTTCTCTCAACATTATTAGTTGTCTGTCAGAGTATTTATTAAAACTCATCGGGTATGCTTCATTTCTTTTCTATTCTATATTCTCTTGTGATCTTGTGTCTAACACTGTTGTGCATAGCTCTGGTTTTTGTCCTTGATAAATAAAAATTATAATTCTAAGGTTCTTTAGTTGATGGCGCGGACCTCCGGATGGTCGAGGACGAGACAGATGTCGTAGCTGCCCGCCTTCCACACTTCCGGCTGGACGTCGTCAGTGGCTTGACTCAAGAGACTCTCCGAGAGCCCACTCGGGGTCCGCTTGAGATTGACGCGGGTCCGGTTGCTCGGCAAGCCGTTGCTGGAGGACCGACTCTCAGAGAGTGCACTGGTAGTGCGCTTGAGGTTACGGAGAGGACAACTGCTGGATGATCGGTCGAGAGAAGAGCTCTGATGGGAAAGGTTGCTAGCCTCACGACTGAGATCAACAACGGTACGAGAGCTGGCCAAACTGTTGACGGCTCCGGAGACAGGCAGACTGTTGGGACTTTCAGATGCGCTCCAACCAGCGACGGTTTCCAAGAGTGCGGCACCACTCCAGAGGATCTCGCAGGACCCGGGCCGACTAGGTGGCTTGATCCATGCGGACGGTGCCAAGTCCTTCGGTGCAGCCGGATCGGCTTCCGAGGGGATCAACACCACTGAGCCTGCAGGCGTGGCTGAGCCGGATGAACTTGGCTTGAAGAGCCGATCTAGGGGCGAGATCCTGTTCTGATATCCTGCGCTGATTATCGTCTGTGCAGATAATCCGCAATAAGAATCATCGTGGATAATGTTAACCGGGAAGCTTCTTTTGCCGAAGCGAATTCGAGACAAATAGGTCAAGCTGTAATTCTTCACTAGAAACCATCACCCAACACCGTTTCAAGGCAGGTGCAACCCAGATTAAATGTGCTGAAACGGACATCATAGAGCCTTGTGAGTATATATGTCGAACAAACGCCCGCCAGATTGAGATGAGTGAGACAAATTGAAAACTTACCATATTCCGGATCCCTTTGGGCCAACAATTGTCTCAAATTAGCGTATTCCGGTACCGCCAGATGGTGGGTTTGGTGCTTGGTTGCCATCTGCTTGCCTCCTTCGAGTTCTGATTGGTGTGGGTCTTGATCTTCGCCAAGGCCTCGTTGATAGGATGGGAAGAAAAAGAAGAATGAAAGAAAGAAAGAGAGAAATTCTTACCTCATGATGTCAAGCTGCCGATGAAGTTGGCCAACCAATGCAGTGAACGACTACAGATGAGCATTTGAGAAGATCGTTTGGTGATTCAGTTTTTCTTGTCTCAGGTTCTATGGGGGGGGGGGTGATGGACTTACCTCGATATGTGGATTGGTATCACAATACCGGATTGATGGTATTGATATTCAGAATCCAGGACAGGAAATACACCTGTCTTGCATCGGCCTCTGGAATCCCGGACTTTGAATACGATGTATTCAGTCGGCCGCAGCGGGTATCCGAGCGGGAATCCTCGGATACCCGCCCTCTAAAGGGTCGGCGACGGACCGGCTGGAAGGGCTTCCTTCCAGCCGTCGAGGTACTTGTACCTCGCCGGCTGGAAGGATTTCCTTCCGGCCGTCGAGGTACTTGTACCTCGCCGGCTGTAAGGATTTCCTTCCGGCCGGCAAGGTACATGTACCTCGTCGACTGGAAGGACACCCTTCCAGCCGTTGAGGTACTTGTACCTTGCCGGCCACTCTCAATACCCTTCTCTTTGGAAAATAAAATGAACCAATGTGGTTGGAATATATACATATATTCACTAAAAAAAGTATTGGATTGCATTGTGAAAATGTGCGGTAACATTGCATGTCACAGATGATGTCACCTTGCATTTTCAAAATGTGATTGAATTTTTAGCCAACTTTGGGAAAATGCTTGTGAAATTTGCCCTGGTTGCTTTGCAATGAAATTTTTACACGCCATTTTATTACATGAGTTGACCTCGCAAGGTAAGAGCCTTGTGCTTTTGGGGCATTTGAGCAAAATGTGTGCTTTTGCACAGTGTTTTCATGGCAAGGCATAATCCTTGTAATTAATACCTGGTAAAACCCCAAATGCTGAGGGTTTTGGGGCTCTTTTGCACCTCTTATTTTACAAGGCTTCGGGTTACAAGGTGAGGGGGCGAAATCATGCCTTGTAAAATTGCTCATTGAAGGGGTCCTGGATGAAAAGGACAAGCCATCACAATACCAAGGCTTAAGCCTTGTAAAGATTGACTTGTAAATTTCTATACCCCCGTGTGATGGCTATTGTTCAACTGGTATAATTGATCAATTATTTTGGTCTGCCAAACCCAAGAATGGATGGATTGAAGGTAGTTTAGTTGAATGGAAACCCAGTGTCAATACTAGACAGAATATGTACCATCAGGTTGAATAATTGTGAAAGAAATCAATGAAGGAAAAAGGAGATTCCTGTGGGGGCATGTTTGCCATATAAGCTACCCTTTTTATGTGTTTTGTGTTTTTTTTTGCAGTTACTGAAGTTGCATGGGTTGTTGTATGTAACGTGGTTCTGGCACATTCTTGTGTTTGGTGCAATCCTGGTTGGCCAGCCACATGTATTGACAACAATTAGAGCAATATGAATGTTTGGCCATGACCCTTCCTGAACATCCTGGCTCCCAACACACCATCAACCTGGGTGAGAGTACTGTTTCAACAGTTGGCTCAGGCGGGCCAGTGCACCACCGGTACCAGCACACCTCTTTTTTCCCCTGGACAGGGGTTATCTCAGAGGCAAGCACTAAGTTGACAAGCATGATGTACATGAATGTCACAGTGGGGGTATGTTTGAGGTGCATGGTTAAGTGTGTTGGTAGAAGCGGCTTATACAACAAAGGTCAAGAGACAGGTTGTCTCAAAGAAGAGTTGAACTTTGGTTTTGCAGGTGCTGAATGTGAGATGACTGTCACACAGGGCTCTTGAAGTAGGACAACAATCCAACTATACCAACAAGGTGTGGTAGTGAAGCATTGATCTGTCCTTATCAAGTATTGAGGGGTGTAATATCCAGTCAATTTGAAAGCCACATTGATCAAGTGAATGAAGAGGACCCAACAGGTGGGTACCCAATATATTCATATGGTGTTGCAGTCTGGTTACACCAAAATTGGGAAAAAAATATTGTCAAGTGTGTTGGGCCAAGATGAAAGGCTGCTTGGCCAAGCTTCAAGCACACAGCACTGTTTAAACCCCTGCCTGACACATTTCAAAGTGGGCAGGGATTGGCACAAAGCCTTGCTTGGCCAAAATCAAGTGAGGGTTCCATGCCCACCACAAGTCAATGCACCCCACAGCTCAAGGGGTGCATCAACCATGCACTTCCCTCCTCTCTGTCTTCACACACATATCAATTGACCTGAAACACATATGTACTTTTCTCTACTCTCTATATGTTGACATATGGAGATCAATTGAAAAACAAATGTTTTGTGGAAATTATAGAGCCAGGAATTTTTCGATCTGTGAATCTTATATGCCATACACAGACATGAATGATCTGATGGAATTACAAGAATCAAGTTATCAGGACTAGTGAACAAGTCAAAGAAAGAAATCTGAATGATGATTGGATTTTGTTTTTTTCTCACTTGCTCTTGATGTGTTTGTCCAGTACAATGTAGGCTGTCCAGTCCCACAAACCAAATCAAGATTGTAAGAAAAATTGGTGGATGAATACATTGAGAACCAATGTATCTCTCCCAGCTTTATTGTCGGCCATCCCCAGTTCATGTCTCCCTTGGCCAAATGTGACCGTTCCAAGCTTGGGATACATGAAAGATTCTAGGCTTCTGTTGCAACCGAAGAAATCTGCAATGATTATAAGTTGTCTCTTTCTCTCTCTCTCCTCATCTGTTATACTCATGTTTTTTGGGGCTATTTTTGTTTCTCTGGATTCAATGTTGATTTGTTGTGGCCATTGTGGGGTGGTCTGATTTTGGGTAGATACAGAATTGAACAATCCATTTGATCAACGTGAACGGTTTGAGGAACAGAAACAACAGAAGTTAGCTTGAGATGACAAGGCTCAAGGGATTGATGAAACTTTTGTCAGTCTTGTACTATATCTAGCTTTTAATTCATCAACATGTTTGGTCCCCCTACCAAAAGAAAGATGTACAGAACAATGCCTCTTGTCTTGGACACTTAGGGTAGATTGATGCGTTGGAACATGGACTCCCACTGACAGGTGGATGGGAATTAGCAATCAAGTGATTGGTGATGCTTTTGACTGATAGTAACTCAATCAAAGAGATCTTCTGTTTCCATGCTAACAAAAATTTGTCCCCCTCCCCTGCATCTCTTCCATTATTTTTTTTGACTTGCCATCAATATCTTAATTTCATCCCTCTCTTCCATCCATCTATGTATCCCAATTTTTTTCTTGTTTTTCTTAGATTTACCAAAGGACTCTTCATGATTGGCTTTGGTGTCCGTTTTTCTCTTCATATACCCAATCCTTGGGGAAAAATCAAAATCTCACCATCAGTTTCATACATGATTTGCTCCTTCAAATAAATAAATAAAGTAAATTATAAGTATAAGCATGGAGTTGAATGACATAAGCTTCGCAAAAAAAGCAAATTTGGAAGTCATATCAAATGTATGAGAAAATCTTCTGTGGGGGTTTTGGTTATGTCAGGTGGGCCTTTCTTTTTCCTGTGGGAGAAATGAGTTTGACTGGCACATTGTTATTGTGATGTGTATACGTAGTTTGTGCTTTGATAAAAGCACACCCTCCCCCCTCCCGCACGCCCATGCCCCCGCCCCTCCAAAAGGGGCATGCAATCCCACCTGCCCGTCTCTGAGGGGCGGGTTTGATTGCACACCCCTTGGAAGCCTAATTTTTGAGGAATCAGGCTTCTGAGGGGTGTGCGATCAAACCCTCCCCTCAGAGACAGGCGGGTGGTATTGCACGCCAGCCACCCAAGAGGTCATGGCAGGCTGATGTAAGCAAAACACTCTGGACTTTTTTGCTTGCGTCAGCGCGCCAATGACTCTTTCCTCCCGGCCATCAAGACTGTACAAGTCTTGATGGCCGGGAGGAATGCAATGTTTCCTGGGAATGTAACGGCCTGAAATTGGAAGATCTGCTGTCGGGTTGATACTAGAGCTACTCCACCTCCAACATGGCACCAGTGTGTAATTAGTGATAAGGAAAATTTGAGCAGCTGTTCAGACCTTCTTAACGCCCATCGTTGCCTGACCAGCAGGCCCAACACCCGCCTTGAGAATTTCCCCGGCTCCGGCTACCAGAAGGCCCACACCGGTTCCAACATGCTTGCCCGCTGTGGTAGCTGAATGTGTAAAAATTCAGTTTTATATTAGTCTTTTTATCCCTCTTTTTTCCTCTAAATACACTCACAAATCACTCAATATGGCTCAAGAAATGGATTCTATACTCAATTTCACCCTTGGTCACCACTGGAGGCATCACTGGAACTCAACTGGATTGGAAGTTACACCCTCTGGACTCTCACACCACTCACTTGAACACCCCAACAACATGGCAACACTCAATCACCACCAACACATCAACAATTACATATCTCACACTATACATATGCACATTGCAGGACAACTACACTCTCTCACCAGAATAGTACATAAGTATACACACCACTCCACCATCTTCTGACATATTGACACATGCAGTGTTGGTCTGGAACCACTCAGGATTTACAAGTAGAGATGGTCAATTTGCATCCGGATATCCGGCTGCTTTTTGCAGCAAAATAACCATCCGCATCCGCATCCGAACCCGCTGGCAGGTATCCGTTGGCCGTAGCGGGTATCCTCGGATACCCGCCCTTTAAACGGCCGGCAAGGGACCGGCTGGAAGGGTTTCCTTCCAGTCAACAAGGTACATGTTGAAATAGACACCCTGGAGACAATGTAGTTGGAAAGGATGAGTGTCATTTCACTAAGAGAAAGAGAAAAGAGAAAAGAGAAAAAAGAGGAAAGACTAACCTGGAGACAATGTAGTTGGAAAGGATGAAGAAAAAGAGATCCTTTCCAACTCAGTTGTCTCCAGTGTAAGAGAGAAATGAAAACAAGATGAATGTCACAAAGTGTGACATGTGAGAAATGAAAAAGGAGAAAGAAGCACAAAACAATAGCGCTATGTAAAGTACGCTACATAGATAGCTCAACAGTACATGTACCTCGCCGGCTGGACATGTACCTCGCCGACCAGAAGAAACCCAGACGGCGAGGTACATGCCTCGTCGACTGGAAGGGTTTCCTTCCAGCCGGCCATACCCCCTTCTGGGCTCGGGTATCCTTTGGGATACCCGGATACCCGCCCAAATTTCTGGGAAAAGGGCACATCCGAACCCAGATCCGTATCGCCTGGCGGGTATCTGCTGGCGCTGGCGGGTATCCGCCAGGGGATAGCGGGTATCCGCAACGGATACCCCGCGACCATCTCTATTTACAAGTGACATCATGCAGATTATCATGTCATTTGTTATTCTTCCTTGCAGCTGTCACACTATCTCACACCACTCATGTAATCTTCATCACTCCATCTTAGTTTTGGACTAGTAGAATGACCTCATGTAGCATGCTAAACCAGCATAAAACCCTCATGTAGACTTCTAGTTCAAGCTAAAATGACTCTTATGACATCATGTAGGTTGCTCAACCAGCCAAAATAACTCATGTACATGTCCTGACTAGCTAAATTCTCTCATTGTAAAGCTCTGGCCAGCTAAAATATCTCATTCTCTTGTTCCCCTGAAGCTAAAATCCCTCACCTTCGTGTATTTAAGAGGCTCTCCTCTCAGTTGTTTTTCCCCTCAGTTTAGTACCCACAAATCACATACCCCCTACCATTACATACCATACCATTACCATTACATACTGTAACAACCTTTATAACACCTTATAACAACCCTTACACTTGTAATACACACTAAACTCACTCTCATACTCTCAGAAACTCAATTCTTACATCATTAAACTGTGATCAAACAAAGAAATCTTGAACCAACCACCCCTATCACTTGATTAAAACTTGCCAAGCTAAGCTTGGTGGGTCTTGTTATCTGATAGTATAGAAGGGCAGAGTTTGCAACTCCACCATACCCTTCTCCATTCAGCAAAAGGGTTTCACAACCGCTTTTGAGTCTTACACCGCGTCTACCCCCGTCTTCACACCGCTCAGGAGTGCTGCGCTGTGGTAAGCCAATCTTGAATAAGAGGCCCACAAAATCAAAGCCTCAAGCAAAATATCAAGCCCTCTGGACAACAATACCCTCAAGGACCAAGACAAGCCCCCCCTGGAATATTCAACCAACCTGCAACACCATGGATGTCACAAGACCAAGCCCCCTGGACAGAAACACTCTGGATTCCACATTACACTTCCTTATTACATAATCACTTCATGCAGCTTTACATCATCAATCCCCATTCAGCCTTCCACATTTGGCCTCTGCATGTGTTTCACTCTAATCCACTTTCACTCTAGTCTCATTTCCACTTTGGGCCACATTCTATTGTTTCACACTATTCCTCTTGGGTTATCTGCATGTCTCACACTAGTACACATCTGGCTAGTTCATTTACCTCTTTGGTATATTCTTCCTTCCCCATTGGTTGTGGCACATTTCATCCCTGCATGTCTCTGATTTCATTTCCCCCATTTATCTTAGTGTCTACCAATTGGGCCACATTGTTTCAGTTTGATATTTTTCACTCTTCCATTTTGTTCCATCCCCCTTCCACCCACAAGCTGGCCATTCCCCAGAATCTTATATATAAGGAGCCTTGTTTTTCATGTTCATTTGTTCCCCATCAGATCCTGCCCCAGTAAGCCAGATAACTGATCACCCATTATTAGCCAGGTATATGCCCATCAACATTTGGGATACCTTGATTTGTGAACAAGTATATTTTGACCAGTAGACATAAGACATATTAGACATACCTTACTCAAGAAATCTCCATAGCCACACCTATTCTTCAAGAGTCCATACTCTTGTTCTTTTCTTGTTACCTTACTCATCCTAGCTCCCAGAGAGGCAGCCCATTAAAGCATTATTCCCTCTCAAGCTCTATTCATCCCAAAGAGTAGTTCCACAGCTCCCAGACCGGTCCCAAGCCCGGTAGGCGCTCCAACAATTCCTGCAACACCCGAACCAAAATCAGGTGATCCTCCACCGGTTTCGGAACCTCCAGATTGATGGTTGGCGGCGGCCGGGACTGAAGTCACTTGGGGAAGAAGGAATATTGTCAGACTCTGAAGTTGATGTTTCACAGTCTAACTGACATACCTGGGTCAGACGGAGATACCACATGTCCAGAGGACTGGATTGTACCGGGAGATGGTTGATGGACGGTTCGCAAGTGGGAGGAAGTCTTCTCAGTTTGAGGTTGGTGTTGAGCTTGCAAGGAGTACGACTGGGGCGGTGCGGAGTATAGTAAATGGGTCGGCACGTTTGATTGATGTTTTCGGTACAATTTGGTGGCAGAAAAGTCAGCAGTGCAGGTATTAGGCATGGCGATGACACCTGAGAAGTCAAGGAAGAAAAAGAATCTCAGCTCCTCATAGCCAGTCAATCTAAATCAAGCTCAGAGCTCACCACTGCAAACAAGCAGAATACTAATCACTAGGCTAGCTGGACATCAAGACTGTACAAGTCTCGATGGCTGGGAAGGATTCCTCCAGGTCTTCGAGACTGTACAGGTCTTGAAGACCAGGAGAATCCCTCCCGGACATCAAGACTGTACAAGTTTTAATGGCTGGGAGGAACCCCTGGTCTTCGAGACTTGTACAGTCTTGAAGACCGGACAGAATCCCTCCCGGCCATTGAGACTTGTACAGTCTCAATAGCCGGGAGGGATTCCTGCTGGCCCTCCAGACCAGGCGTGCAGGCCAACCCACCCTTTTTTTGGTGGGTTGTACTGCACGCCCCTCTTGTTGCAAATGTTGAGCTATCTATGTAGTGTAGTTTACATAGCGCTACTATTTCGTGCTTCTTTCTCATTTTCATTTCTCAAATGTCACACTCTGTGAAATTCATCTTGTTTTCATTTCTCTCTTATACTGGAGTCAACTAAGTTGGAAAGGATCTCTTTTTCTTCATCCTTTCCAACTGCATTGTCTCCAGGTCAGTTTTCTTCTTTTTCTCTCTTTTCTCTTTCTCTCAGTGAAATGACACATTATCCTTTCCAACTGCATTGTATCCAGGGTGTCTATTCAACAGCAAATGTCAGCAAACAGAGGAGCGTGTAGCAAAACCCGCCCCTCAGAGACGGGCAGGTGGGATTGCACGCCCCTTTTGGAGGGGCGGGGGCATCGGCGTGCGGGAAGGGAGAGGGAGTGCATATATCAATGCACACGTAGTTCAACTGGTATAATTGCTACCAATTTCAGAAGATTCAACATTCTCAAAATCACTGTGAATTTTAGGAGAAAACATGGCAAAAGGGAATTCTGGTGGGGGCATGTTTGCCAAGTTTATTACACTTCTACGTTTGCGATGTGCTTCCGGGTGGGTTTGATCCGGATCGAGATGGTCCCTTTCAAAGGTTAAATGCAGGAGGCACGCCACTGTGGATGGTGCAACCTTGGGTGGCCACGACATGACTCAGAGCAGCAATTGTACAGTCGGGCCATTACCCTGCCCAAACACCCTGCCTCCCAACAAGCCATCTCCCGGGAGGCTGCTTCCCCCGTCCAATTGTCAGCTACCGGTTTAAGGGTCATGGGCTGACTGTTGCACTCTGGGCATATCAACCACGACATTGAGGGCTTGGGTGCGTGCACCTGAGTGAGGAGGAGGAGGATGAACATGGATGTCGCAATGAGGATTCCCAAAAAGCTCTCCTGAATTTATTCATTTTCAACACCTTCAATTAAGTCTAGTTCTGTTGTATTTAGTCTCATTTTCCCCTTCTCCTTCCTAGCTCGGTAGAGTTCTTCCTCCTAACGATGCTAGGTACGTCTTCCCATCTCCTCTTTCTCCATCCTTCTCTTCCCGCTTCTGACTATTCTAGTTGTACTTAAGAGAGTTCTTCCTCCTACCGATGCTAGTAATTCATCCAACCGTGGTACTAGAAGTTCTCTCCAAGGCAAAAGGCCTTGTTCCGACCAATCTTTAAGAGCACCAGTGAAGAGAATTCACAGCTCTTACACTGTCAGCCTCTGGGTAGGGTAACTAACCTGAGATTTTAATAGTAAAGAGGTTGTTACTATGAGTTGACTGAAGTTTTTGAGCGTGGTGAGTGTTAGGTAGTGGGTGATTAATACCAGTCCTGTAATGAGGAGGTTTCACTCTATCAGTATGGTCTTTACTGAGAGGCTTGCTATCAACAGCGCATCCGGATCAATACAAGGTATTAATAGGCATCCAGGGTACTAAGACTCACCTGGGATTGATTTGGTTATTCCCAAAAGGGAATGGGCTAATGATACTTATTAAGCTTTAAAAAAATTAGTTGAAGATTAACAGGTATTGTTGATGGGAATATTCAGCAAGGCTATGAATACTGTGGATAAGTTGAGTAAGAGTACTGAAGCTTAAGAACAATAAAGGTAGACTAGATTTATGTTGGTTATGTGTACTGTATCAATATAAATGTTAACTGGTTTAACTGGTGTCTGAATATTCTGGGGATTAATCAGTGAAAGAGGCACGGATTATAAGTTCCAGAATATTGAAGGAGGGAAAGAATGAGTGCTCAGAATCAAGGGAGCTTTGGCCAGGAGAATGAGCACATCAATTGAGTGACTGATCATTATTTGTCATGATCTGTAAGTGACATCATAATGGGGTACTAGTTGATCAATGTACTAGTTGCTCTTGATGCTTGTACTTAACAGATCCTCTAATAATGTAGTCATAATTGTGATCCGTGCATGTATTGAATGTATTAATTCTATTGACACTTAATACTTACTATTTAATACATGTACATATTTATTTGTAATAATATTTGACCGTGAAAATACTGTAGAAGAGGGATAACTTGTGGTACAGGTATTTCACGGACAAAGGAGTGAAAGGTAAGTGATAATTACTTATGTAGGACACAGGTATGTATTTAATAGATAAGTAATCAACAGATAAGATAAATATAAGATCAATAAGATAAGTTAATAATAATGATAAGATAACAAGAGGTAAAGGTAATCAACATTATGGATAAGTACTTATGTACATAAGTACAGGTGTTGCAGTTACTTGGTACATGAAAGGTATTGTGACATGTACTCTGTGGCTGACATACACTGACCTGGGCCAACTTCTTGTCGCAGAAACTTGTTCATTTGTGCACCACCTCCTCCAACAACCATGAATCGGATCATCAATCAATCTATCTCACTCTCTCCTTCCAATCAAACATCCAAATAAACGATCGACTTTCTTGCGATCTCAAAAAAATCGACATCATCAAATTCAACTCAGACCTCAACACTTTCCTTAGAACCATCCCAACTCATCCTCTTCATAATTGTCAAGACATCGACAACTTAGTTGAAAAACTAACTATTTCTCTCCAAAACTCTATTGATATCCAAAAAAAGTAGTCAAAAATAATTCTCAGAAGATCAAACCGTGGTGGAACAGCAAGATCCTTGCCCCTTTAGCTGAAAAAAGAAACAGGGCAAGGAAGTGGATGCTTCTTTCCAAATCAACTAAATCCTGCGTCTGCTTTAATCATTGGCAATCAATATTCAAAGAAAAAGTTTTCGAATTGAAAAGAAATCATTGGCGAAGATTTCTTGCCAAATGTAATGACTTTCAGTTATTCAAAGCTTTATTATAAATTCACCAAGCCAAACAGCAACGGCAGTGTTGCCCCTCTTCTTAATGACCAAAAAATTCTTACTTCAAATAAAGAAGAACAAGCGTCCCTTCTCTTCAAGGGGACGTCCGACGCTCCTATCAATTGTTCTCTTTCCGACATCCCTCTGATGGCCCTCAATCCTCCCTTTTCCTTTCCTACAATTTCCCGATCTGAAATTGATAACATCATTTCAAATCTCCCAAAAGAGAAGTCTCGGGGTCATGATGACATCGCTAACGAACTGATTATTTGGGGTAAGGAATCCCTCATTCCCTTCCTTATTCAACTATTTTCTTCTTGTCTTAAAATTGGTTATTTCCCTTCATTTTGGCGTCACGCTACTACAGCCATCATCCAAAAATCTGATAAAGATTCATATTCTTTACCAGGCTCCTATCACCCTATTGCCCTCCTGTCTTGCTTAGGGAAAATATTCGAAAGCGTTTTAACAAAAAGAATTACTTTCTGGGCTGAGAACAATCAAGTTCTAGCCAAAGGTCACTTTGGAGGAAGAGCAGGTTGTTGCACAGATGATGCAAACCTCTTCTTAAATTCTTGGATCCGCCACAAATGGCGCGAAAAGAAAATTGTTTTGGCATTGTTCTTGGATGTCAAGTCAGCCTTCCCAACAGTCATTAAAGAACGTCTCCTTCACAACCTCAAAACTCGAAATGCCCTCCCTATATCCTCTCCATCATTTCCAGCTTCCTCTCAAATCGAACAACTTTGCTTAAAATGGTCGACTATTTGTCTTCATCCTTCTCACTGAAATGTGGCTTGCCACAAGGCTCTCCCCTCTCTCCCATCTAATATATCATTTACAACTCGTCACTCCTCATCAACAATCCGTTATCTCTCAGTCAAGATGCTATTTCTCTGGGCTTTATAGATGATGTCACTCATCTTGTTGCCTAAAAATACCTTGAAACTTCCATTCAAAAGCTTGACATAGAAGGAAACAGATCCCTCGAATGGGGTATCAAGCATAATGCCATTTTTGACAGGAAAAAAGCCAATTTCATGATTTTCACTCACAATTCATTAATCGACATCCGCCCTTTCAAATTTGGAGACCTTTCTCTTCCCACCTCTTATTCTGTGAAATACTTAGGTATTATCTTTGATCCTAAACTTCTTTTCTCCAATCACATTAAAAAAGTCAAAAAATGTGCCAACCAAACTTCCTCTCAACTTATCCGTATCTCAAGATGCTCTTTTGGTGTCGGCTTCCATCAGTCCAAAAACCTAATAATTAGTGTTCTTTGATCTAGAGTTTTATACGGCAGCACCATCTGGGCTACCAACAAAAAACTCTCTACCATCAAAAACTTATTTGATAAAATTGACAATCAAGCCAATCGAATTATCCTCGGTCTTTTCAAAACAACCCCGTGCAATTTCCTTTCTAGAGATTCACCGCTAATTCCTTTTTTTGAAATTTTAAAAAGAAAAAATCATCTGTATATCATAAAAAAATCAACAGCTCCTGATTCTCATCCCATCAAGCGCCTAATCAATTCAGAAATCTCAATCTCGCCATCCTCTCACCCTTCTCCCATCTACAGCATTCTCGATAAACATCTGATCAGCGATTACGACCTTCCCTCAATCAAAACTATCCAACATCATATCATAAATCCCTGGGAAGATTTCTCCCTTCCCATCTCCAACATGAAAATCAAAAAAGAAGACATAAAATCAACGGT